AAAGGTAGGCTGGGCAGTTCCTTTTTTTTGGTAGGCACGTCCAAATGTGTCAACAAAAATGCACTACGAAAAAAAATTATATTTCGAAAAATCTTAGAAATTTGTATATTTATTGGCGATAGTGCAACTGTCTTGCTTTAATTACACCAACTTACACCCACATTTTGACTGGATCTATTAAGGTTTTAAGGTCACCTGTTTTTTAATATTTATCCCTTAGTTTTGCGTAAAAACTTGCTTGTTTAAATGGTTAACAAAAGCGTGTTAAATATTAAAGTGATCGATATATAACTTTGAGTTATAGTGAAACTTTTAATAACTTGCAAATTAATTGGAGTTTTTCTGTAAAAATTGAACCATTGATAATTTTTGAATAACTATAGTGCCCGTTTCATTGAATGTATTTACTTGGTATCTCCAATCTCTCTAATTTGGTATATCCTGTCCCCAATTTCGCTCGGTGTTTAGGGGCAGCTGCTTTCAGCGTCCTATTTTATTTCACATTTCACATACATATTTTTATTATGCTGTTGCCGGTTGTCAGATTTTGCACCGTCGCATGCTGCGGATGCCTCGTCGGATGGCTATTTTAATTTGTGGCAAACTCGAATTATAATTCGCATTGCGACGTGGCCGTTGGCCGAGTTAATTACTCCAGCCCCGCAATTATCGAGAGGTAACCGCTCCACTTATCGACTGCACGATGAACGGCATTTTACAACAATAGTTGGGTTTTTGTTTTTTATATATTCCTATCCCGACTGCGACTGATCCAGATGATTAGTCTAATCTAATCTTGCACGCTGCAACACCTACGTCTGAAAAATAGTCGAAAACGCTTTAATCAGCTCATTATCGATCTTAATGCCCAGCTGCGTGGGTTTGGATCCCCAAGTCGAGTGAAATATGCTAATTCCCCTAAGCGATCCGATCTCTTACACATGTTGCTCGCAGATAAGCTAAGGAGGCGTATATAATAACCGACCCGAGACTTTTATGTTTATTTAATTAGCGCATTCATTCCGACTCTACTTGATTTGATTCGAATTATGGATTCACAGCCCGCATGGGAATGGGTTAGTAGGATGTTACACATCGGACTATATATAGAAGGCCATATATCATGCTAAGTCAACATTCTTTCAATGGCAATAGACTCTAATCAAATTAAATGATCTAATAATATTCAATTAATATTAGAAAGACTATCGAGTGTAAGACTATAATGTGGCTATTTATTTATTTACCCTATAAGTATATACATTCTTGATCGGGCTTGTCGATCTAGCCATGTTCTAGTCCCTCTTGACATAACTTCATCGATTAAAAATCGAAATATAGTTATTTAGTGATGTGCTAATAATGGAATATTTACATTTTAGTGTCCTATAGTTTGCTTGTTGTCCTTGAAGTTTTTTACTCATAAATACTAGAAACTCTCTGCAGTTCGAGCTCTCTACTTGATAGCAAATCCCTGAACTCGCCTTGCGTGTGAAGTGTGCGTCGTGAAGTGTTTCGTGCTAAGTTGTTGCTGCTTCTGTGTCTTCGTTCAGCTACCAATTGCAACAGTCCCTCCTCGGGATCCCGTGATCAAGTGGCAGCCATGAGCAGATATTCCCAACATCCCTGCCATATATATACCCAACTCCCCAAAGATGTCGATAAGGATCAATGTTTAGCTGGGCTACGTTTTAATATTGTCTTGGCCCGGCACACGTTGCCATGATTTGGGGCGGGTCCACGAAAACCGAAAAGGTATTCTTTTTTTTTCTTGGCGGGAAGGGGAAGAAAACTGGGGACATTGAAGTCCCCAAGCTGGATTCACTTATAGCCACTTCAGTAGTCGATCCCCGTCCCTTTTCCACCTTCCTGTAAGTTGTGTTTCAGTTTGTAAGGCATTCGTGATGAGTCATCATTCGTATGGATAATATCCACTTTATATAGCTTTCCCAATTCCCCACTCTTCTCTCTTTCTACATTCTTTCAGTGTATCTCCTCTGGTGTTTCGTTTTCCTTTTCGTTGGCTTTGAGTGCCTTGACTTTTGCTTGTCAATGCGCGACGTCTTTGATAACTAATTGCCACGGCGCCAAATGTTTTTTATTTCGTTTTTGTTTTTGGGGTCATCCTCGAGGGTTCCGTATCGCCTTAGTGAAGTATAATAAAAGTCACATCGTTACCGTTTTGTCGGCGGTTATTAGGACACAGTTTCCGAAACCCCTCATCCCCTAATGATTTATGTTGAATTCAAAACTTTGACACACAATTGTGCATGCGCTGAAAAAATTCGATAAAAAAAATACTAGGAAAGGGCTCTATTTATTTCAAGGAACATAATAATTTGAAAACTCGAATTTAAGGTTTTAATTTTATAAACAAATAAACAAATCTTGTGAAACAGTTAATACTTATGAAGTTTTGCTTTTCATTTTAATTTCTTATCAAGCCCTACTTTATAAGGATAGCGAATCAAAAAAACCTGGTTTTACTTAATTAATTGTGACAAGCCCGTTTGGGATGCGATAAACCGTACATATATTTATTTTATAGTGGAAAGTGTTTTTTGTCATCATATATTTCGACAAGGTGATTTCAAATATAAACTGATAAATTTGTCCATTTCTCTATATCGATGAGATAATCTCATCGCTGATCCCCCTCAACTGCTCCACAAATATATGCATAAATAACTGTATTTTTCATTTCATTCGTATCCGAACAGTTTTATGTTGCTGCCCTTTTCCTTGTCCCTCCTCCCTTCATTCCCATCTCCAGCATAAAGTTCGTTGCCTAAGTCTTTTGTTTGTCTCAATGAATCTATAATTTCTCGCTCAATTCCCACCGCAAAGTAGTAATATAAGGCAAAAAAGGTTGGAATGTGATTTTATGGCCAATTTGATAAGCATTTATAAATATGATTATATATATTTCGGGGCCAAACGGATTTTGTTTCCAACTTAAATTGAATTAAGATTTCTGCGAATTTTCATTAGCATTTGTTCATTTCTGCGGTTACTAGTCGTGAAAAATTGCAAACATTTTCATTTCCATTTTTGTTGTTGCCAAGTTTAATCAAAGTGGCGCTAATTAGTTTGAGTCGTTTGGATAATTGCAAATTAAACGCAAACTTAATTGCGCCGACACACGAAACAGACACACACATGTGCACCAGGGCAATTACATATCCAGCAGATACAACAAAAAAGTAAAAAACCTAAAAAAAAACTAAAGCTGCATTTTGTCTCGCAAGGCAACAAAATAATATATGGAGAAGGAAAGAAAAAAAGCAGGAAAAAACGGGCCTGGTTTTTTTTGTTGTTGTTGCTGCTGAATAGCGGCTCGTGGAATTAACAAGCGAGTTCGCGTTAAAGTTAAATTAAATTAAAATCAAACAAAAGAAAATTAAAATGAATTGCAGTTATTGAAATAGAATAGAGATGTAAGACAAATAGCTAGAGATTAATGTAAATATTACTATAATTATAAGTTAGGGACCTAGAAATTAAATAAGTGGTAGCACTTAATAAATGTTAATACTTAAAAAAAAATACATTTTGTTATTCCACAAGATGTGTGTAATTTCAAATAATCTACAGTAGAAAAATTTAAATATAGTAATTAATGGCTTGAATAATTATTTTTAGAAAATACAAATGATGACTTGCCACTATATTTTCCGTATATTTCTTATTTGTAATGTTGTGCAAACGCTAAAGTGAAACAGAAACCAAATAAAAATAAGCTAAGACAATATTAAATCAATGGGGTAGTAATTTAAATTCAGTCTCTTAATGTCAGCGTTAATTAGTCGCCTTAATTAATGATTATTAATATGGTCGTTGAGACCCCACCTTCCCCTTCGGCTAACCATATATATTTATGCACTCCCCTTGACTTGATTACTATGCAAATTAATTGTTTGGATCTTTCTCTTGGGTTCTCGTTCGCTTTCTGCATTTGACGAACTCATTGAAATGCATGAAATGTTACCAGCCCCTGAAGGGAGATCAAAAATATTATGCAGGCCCGTTGGTTAAACATGATTATCACAGTTCCACCTCATCGCAATTACCAGGCCATCTGAGGAGGAGTTCCTGTCCATCTCAGCCTCTGCATCTTCTTATTTTTCCGCTTCGGACTTTGGCCCAAAAAAATGAGCGGCAGACTAAAAAATCTGGTAATCGAATTAGGCAACTTCGTGTTTTATAAATGTTATCATAAATATTCCATTTTATTAATTACCGCGCATAATTCACCAACAAAAGCGAGAGCGACTGAGATTTGGTTAGTGTCCGCCTCTCTCTTTAAATTTTGTTGTCTTTGAATTCGTCTCCGGATGGCGCGTCTCATTAGCATACTTAATTTGTTTCTAATTTATTCATAAATTTATATTTGTGCCACCTTCTCACAGAAGATGCCTGCCTTGTTTTTGTTTTTGATCATGCCAACTCCTTTCTTCTCCATTCGGCGGCCCCTTCTCATGCTGATTTATGGAAAGACCACTGATTAATGGCAGCTTCGACTCCGGATCTGAGTTGGAATCATACCGTACTCCCAAGATCTGGTCGGACTGGCTGTGATTCAGTTTCTGGGTAGGCTTAAGCTTCTCCCTCTCTCCACGAAAGTAGGTGTTGCAAAGCACATTATAAAGGGGCTTTTGTCCATTAGGGTTCGGCTTATGGTTAATTTGTGGGAATTACCGGAAAATGACAAAGATATGAAGAGCTATTTGTTTCATTGTCTATTTCAAGTATGGGGAATGTCAAAGGTTAAGTTATAATGCTTGTTTAGTTGTTTTTACAGTCGGAATATCAAATCCTTGAGGAATGGATTCTTAATTTCAATCCACTGTATATTTTGATTGTGATATGATTTGGGGAGTTCTTTAAATACACATTGTTTATTGTCGCAAGAACATTATTTCACTTACTAGTTTTAACTTAATTACATAACTCACATTTAAATTTGAAAAAAAAAGATCTTTCCTTCTAGAGAAACAATATTTTAATTTTATTTGTTGAATTTATTAGAAACTCCGTGTTAAATACAAACAATTGAATAACTTATTGGCTTAAGACTACTGTGAACGGGCAATGTTTTTGCACTTGGGTTTGGGATTATCTTCCTGACCATCGTATCCTCTATCGTATCCTTCAAATTCTCCACCTCCAGCTAGCTGATCACATCGTTTCCATGTCCGTTTTGCCGCAGCAGTTCCAGCTTCAGTTCGTGCTCCCTGGCCTTCAGACGCAATGCGGCAATGGAGGAGGTGCGTCTGTCCTCGGGGGGCGTGGCAGCTCTGGGAGGGGGAGGCGGCTGATGCGATTGGGGTGGTGGGGGCAGCTGTCGCTGGGGGGAGTGTGACAATGTCAAAGCCACCGGGGAAGTCTGGGTGGGCGATAGACAGGGCGCCTGGTGGGTCAAGGCGATGCCAACCAACTGTTGGGGCGAAAGTTGAGCTGGCTGAACTCCAACTGGCATTTGTGGAGGGGCCTGCGGAGGAGGGGGATGGGAGGCCGGATTGTGCTGGTGCTGTGAGGCGTGGCCGGAGGCGGGCGAAGTGGGCGGTGAGGCGAGCAGGTGGTTGGGCGAATGCAAATCGGGGGATCCTACCAGTAGGGCGGCTGGTTTTCCAAGCGGAGGACCCCGTGGCACTGCCGTCATATTTGCCAGTAGAGATTGGAAGGAGCTCGATGGGGAGTACATGCCCGCCATCCCATGGGGCAACATGTGGGGCGGAGCCCTGGAATAGTTTAATAAAGAGAATGCATAATTAATACCGATTTAAAAGGTCTAGAAAATAATTTAATATCCAACTATGAGTTAATAGTGCGTCATTAGAATAAGTAACTGCTTTACCATCATTTAACCATTATTTTTTATAATTATAAAAAATTCTTTTCTAACCGATTTCAGTGTGGCGTAAGTGTTGAACATTTTGTAACCTTAATACGGGCAATCGGATTCATGTTTCTAAAAGTCTTCAACAACATGACCAGGAGTAAGTGTTTGACTTTCAATATTTTTTTTTTAATTTTAATTTTTTCCTTTGGGAAGTTAAAAGAAATGCAAGGGAAATTAGGTAGTCTCACGTTTCTTCAAATTAATTGGAAAGAAATATTTAAAACTTAAATAGAGGCACCTGGCCATGTTGGTAACAAATTTAAGTTAGATTTGAAATATAATTACTAATTTTATTGAGCCATTACTGACCTCTGGAACTGGTTGAAGTAGCCCGACGGAATCATGGGGGCGGCGGAGAGATGTGGGTAGCGGAAGGCGGCCAGGTTGGCGGCGTGTTGGGCGTCGAAGGGCTTGCGCAGCTGGAAGCCCAGGTGGGTGAAGGGATTAGGCGGTAGGGCGGCCCCCACCACCGTCTGCATGGTGGCGGCGCCGCTGGGCAGGTAGGGATTATACGGATGCGATTGAGGGCCGACCTTCTCCTGCTTGCGCCACTTGGCGCGCCGATTCTGGAACCAGACCTGGAAAAGATGGCAGGGATGAGAATTATGAGTTATGTTCTGCTGGCAGGCTACTGTATCTGCATCTACTGTGGAGCATCCACTCTATACTCCTCTCTCAAAGCATCCAATTAATGGGCGTTGTTATTGAAAACGCCCCTTTAATTAGTTTTTAACATAACAATCTGAATACGGAGTCCGTCCCAGGACGCCGGCTACTGATTGCCCTCGGAATAGGAGCCGGAAAAGGAGTCTCCGTCCGAGTGCCAGTTGAATTGGATGCAGGCAAATAATGTTGTTTAGCACGAGCAGTAATTAAAAAGAAGCGGCGAATTCCCGGCCATAAACTGAACGGGCATGTAATGACTGGCACTAAAAGAGAATTAAATGAATTTCTCCCGCCACGGATCTCCGCTGGTTGTCCGTCTAGCCCCGTCTCGATTTCATTAGTAGCGACATGCTCCATTATTTTTCAATTTTCAACATTGTTGGCTGCACGTGGTCCACGCGAATTAACCGCAAATCTGCGCAGCTTCGAGCCCTGAATTCTCCTCTTTGAGAAATGCTTACCTGTATGCGCGCCTCGGTTAATCCAATTTTCATCGCCAGCTCCTCTCTGCAAGAAGATGAAAGAGAAACCTCGGTTAGCTTGAAAAACTACATTGATTTAGGGCAGGTAATCAATTGCAATGGTCTGGCATCAACAGTCACATAAACAACGTTTTCTGTGCGATTGTCCAAATATTTGGCTAAGTGAGAGTACTTGCAGTCATTCCATGGCCCATAGTGCCCGTTTAATTTACATAATTGTAATTTCGCCCCATGATTAAACTCCAGAATAAATAATACTTTAAAAAGGATTCGGTGTAGCGTTATATTAAATATGATTGTGGTGTTGGAATGACTTCTTTTTGACTTGTAATCCTCAATTGCCTTCTAATATGGTTGACCTAATCTCACCTCGCCGAGCTTCTCATTCCAACCACTTATAAGCTAATTGAAGCTTATACAGAAATCAAAGGTGATTTGATTTATTTGCTTAATTAATTGCTGAGCATTTAAATGAACCCGCAGCTTAATGAATTGAAAATTGCCAGCGATACGGCAAAAAAGTTGATCTAATTGTGGCTGCGATTGACTTTGTAAGCTCACTTTTTTTTTATTTCGGTTTTTTGTTTGGGCTTGAGTTTCGTGCGGTCTCAATTAGCGTTCACTTTGGTTCCCCGACTGAGAAGTGACTTTTAATTTATGGCAATTATTGTGGCTGTCTTTCAACCACATTGCTGCATGCTAATTGCGCTCTTTACAGTTTCTTAGGGCGAGGAATCTAAGATGGTGTGGTTGCGGCTATCTCAGGAGGAGTCCCAGTCCCAGCCTTTATAAACAACTGCTCCATGCGAGATCAATCAATCCACTCAGGGGGGTCTCGTCGTTATGGGCATTATTATTATCACCTGAACGTTTTCCATATTCGTATCGTAAAACCGAGAATTGACTTTCCAGCCTTTGTCGCGCCTCGATGAGCGATTTATGCAAATTTCTTTTCTTCTGGGGCACTCATTCTGTTCGGCTTTATTCTTATCGCATTTCGTCATATGTTACTCACCTCGTAAACACGTCGGGATAATGGGTCCGGGAGAAGGCCTTCTCCAGCTCTTCGAGCTGAAAGCTGGTGAAGGTTGTGCGATAGCGCCGCTGCTTCCGCTTCGGGGCGTACTCGTCCGCTTCGCAGTCGCTGTTCCCATCCGAAATGGGGCTGTTGGTGCCCCCACTCGCTCCACTTGTTCCACCACTTGCACCACCTGGCGCTCCGGCAGAAACCGACATCGAAACCGTTAGCGCTGCGCCGGCGGAGGCGGCCGACGATCCGGGGGCACGGTCAACCAGCACTACGGCATCCGGGTGCGCTAGTTTGGCTTCTTGCGGTAGTTCCTCCAGCTTGATCTCCTCCGATATGCCCATAATCCAGGAGGGCGATCTGATCTATACTCGCAGGCAGCGGCTGCACAGGGAGAAATAAATAAAGCCATATTAGTTACCAGTTCTGGGTACCAAAAGGTTCTTGTAAAAATATTTATAAACGAAAACCGAAGCTAGCTTTGGCAAGCCTACGTTTTACAGATGTCAGATATATTACAGCAAAAGGATTTTGTCAACTTAAAATCCGAATTGGTATTAAACCATAATATTTATAAAACAATAGGATGTATGTAGATAATGTAGATTTTTTAAAAATTTTCAAAAACAGCAGCTTTAGGATATAGACGTCCGATCAGTGGCTTTTCAAACAAGAAACAAGAAATACGTACAGTTTCTAAACCTTAAAGTCATTTGTATGTATTTTACAAAAAAAGTGGTTTTTAAAGTGAGAAATCTTACTTCCTTTATTGTTAAAAATCTTTTTAGTTCATCATAAATATTTACAACCAATGCTTAACAACTTAATTATTAAACTGCATGAGTAGGTAAATCAATAAAAGTTAGTAAACCCAGTCTTTATAATTTTTACTTCTCATGTGATAAAGGGGTAGATATATCTAGTTAGTCGCGCATTAGAAGCTCATAATTCAATAAACGCTAAACGTGCAATTATCGTGCACTTTATTATGCCAATTTCCGTAATTTGCCATCTAGCCATGACCAAGTCATCGAGTGGGTCGGGACTCGCCGCTCGAGGTTAGCTGCGGTTACACTGGCCAACATAGTATTATGGTTAAGGGTCTAGGGAGTGACAGAACTCGTTGGAGAGGGAGTGCCAAAATAAGCCTGAGATAGGGTCAATGCAGCCCAGACCATTTCTGATTTGGTGGAAAAATTAATTATTAATATTTTATTATGTGTGTTCAATACCCTTCTAAATAAATTTTAAACATTTTTGTGTGGCAGAAAGAAATTCTACTAATTACAAAATATTTTACCTTTAAAAACCAGTTGTTTAATTTTATATTCATTAACATTTTCCTATTTAATTACCAACACAAAATATTGATTTATTACTTTCTATACCAGAAGGTCCGAGAGCCTTTCTTAGGTTTAAGTGCTAAAGTTCGCTTAGCTAAGTGCTTTTCCTGTGGGTTAGTTAGTCGGTTGGCCCCTCTGCGGTCTGGAAGCGTGCCTCATGGTCATGGCTTCCACTTTATTTCTAGATTCATCTTCGGGTTGAGGTTTCCGCTGGCAAGTTGCAGCTGCTGACGAACTTGCCTCAATGCAAATCGATGACCACAGCATGGGGCTGTCCGTCAGCTGATCTCTTCCATCAACACGTCTTTCATCGGGCACTGAGTTGGGTTTATTTTGCTCTCCGGTAACAGCAGCTTTCATGTCCAGATCGTTTGGAATTTTAATTAAATTGGGCGGCAACTTCATTTTCATCATCATCAACTCAACGGCTGCACTCGGGCAGTTTAGAGAGCCGTGTCCAAGTCGCTTCTATCAGATCAAATTAATATCAGGTGCCAGTTTGGGCCCAAGTTTTTCTCTTACCAAATGCATTCGAAGTTTGGCTTTGGTAGTTCCAAGTTTTGCTAATTAATATACGATGTCTTTAATGACAACTAAATGGTTAGACCCGGTGTGTAACCTTCTCAATTCGCTTCCATCTCTGAACTTCAGAAGTCAGGGGCACATATCCAGGCCCTGTCCCATGCCCAAAACTCGACTTGATTGATGGCCGCCGCTTCTGTTGACATCTCTACATATATCAAAATTGTCCAAATACCTTGTTAAATGGCAAATTAGTGTGGCGGTGATTGATTTAGTTGCATTCTTGCGCGGAATGAAGTTGCAACCGGCAACCAATCGAGTCCAGACGAGAGAAAGAAATGTTGCACTTGAAAATATTGATTGTAATTTGGAACGTAAAATAATTTTATTTATTTGCATTAATAGAGAGGGGACATAGCGTTAACAAAATGATCATCATTGATAACAAAGGTGGAGAAATCATAGACGCCTTAAACTTGATTACATATTTATAAATCTTTTTCTAAGTGCACATCAACCCGGTCATGAGCTTTGCCAATGTCAGCGAGGGTTAGCTTGAGTGGCATCTTTCTTCACCTTGCTGGAGCATTCCGCATGAATCTTTCCTGGCAGTAAAACTTCAGTTCATAACTCATTTCTGGGCTCGATCATAACTTCGGTTATGAGTTGGGCTGTCAATTTCCAATGCTGTCAACGAATTCCGCGCACTGACAGCTGACAAACTTAATTTGCGGACTGCAAATTATTAAATTAGTTGTACGAATTGCAATTATGCTACAAGTTCCCCCCTGAGTTCATTATAGACCCGCACTGATTAATTCATTGCATGCGAATGGGAACCGTAGAGCAGTTTAGAGCTATGTGGGGAATGTATGCCGTACGGCTTTGTTGTGGAGCCGCTTTATAATTGTATCCGCGTTACGACTTTATTATAGCCCAGGCAATCGGAGCAGAAGGCATCCTCCGCTGATTGACGTTTCGTTGGGTAATTAAAAGGCAGAGACTTTGCTGGAAACTGTCAAGTTTTTGACGTCTGCTTACCGATTTGGCCTGGTCGCGTTGGCATGGCTTCATTTAGTTTTAGTCAGTGGCCGGCCAACAACTAATCAAGTTAACGCTGCACTTGCTCAGCCCATATCCAGATACCCGGCACTCCAGGAAGCCTGGGATATGGATGGGTGGGGATGTGGCTGCGGACTTCTGGCGGGGGCGATTTCGTGGCTAACATTTTGACACAACTTCTCGGCGTCTTGGGCTCTTAGTCCCTGCATGCTAATCAGGCCAAGCGCCAGTCTAACTTCCCGACCAAGTTCCATTCCGAATCTCAGTCAAAGTCTGGGCTTTTGAGTTGCAGTCTGAGCCCGAGTCTGGCAACTTGTTTGCGGTTGCTTGTTCCGTTTAGAGATAAGCTCCATTAGTGTCTGGGGAAATATTTAAGAGCAACATTGTAGGCTGTGTGGGTTGCCTAACCCAGTCCAGTCATAAAGGCACTGAGAAAAAAGCTATGGCCTATCGAAGAATATTTGTACTTTCATCCCTGTTTAAGATAAAACAAAGAAAATATATTATGTACTTTTCCTAGTTCTTGATAAATGCTATTTATAATATTAAAACAAATTGACAAAAATATGTTTACAAAATTCCTTCCAGCTTTAATCGTTTTTAGAAGAACCTACAATTTATCTCATGTAAACCTTCAAACACGTCATTCTTTCAGTGTAGACATAAGAAAATGAAGAAATTAATGCGTAATGTGAAACAAGTGTACGGCGGTACTTCTATGCGGTTGTCTACTGTCCGCTGTCTTTGGCACACTGTCCGATGGTCGACGTCCGTTGTCGTCACTTCTGTCATCTCGATAAGCATCAATGTTTCTGCCCTGCCTGGCTGCTCTTTCCACAACTCAACTCGGCCGAACTCTGCGCTGCAAAAGACTCGTCTTCAGCTGGCTCCTTCATGTTTGGTGTCGTTTTTATGGTTGCACTTTTGTGTTTTTAGCTCCTCCAGCTCCCGATCTTCCCGATCCGATCCTCGATCCTCGATTCTCGGTGTCTGGGGACTGTTGTGCTTGGCATATTTCATTAAAAGCCTGGGCCGGAGGGACGGCATCAGGTAGAACAGCAAACAGAAGCTCTTTTCTGGCATTTTGTTAATGCGTCTCAGTCTGCGTCTCGGGTCTCCAGTTTTCAGCTTTCAGTTTTTAGACTCCAGTTTTCAGTCAGTCCCCAGTCTGGCCAGTATCTGGACTGCTTATTTATGGGTTTACATTAGGCTAAACCACTTTAGTCACACTTTGATGATCGGCATTGTATTTTCGCCCCCGGGGCCACGATAATGGCAAGCATTTTAGATGGCTTAACTTTTGACCCCCGGCGAAAGCTCACTGGTTGTCCACCGATAGCAATGTGTGGTCTCTCTGAGAAGTTGATGGATCGGCCAGAGACGCTATGAACTCCCGCCTAATAGTTTCGGTTCGATAAAGTCAGTTATTAATTTTCGACCAGATCTTGTGAGTCACCCAGAAATCCATAAAACTGATATCGCAAGCAGCTGAGAGCGGAGTCCGTAGTGTTTATCCCATTTCAAGCTGCACCTGAACCCTCCGTTGGATATTCGTGGTTCGGTGTCCGTTGTTCGGTGTTCACCTCCCAGTTGTTCGGTTGCTTGTTTCTTGGCGCCGTCTTTTGGTCCAGGTGCGATAAGGCAGCATTCTTTTTGTTGGCAGGCGCCGTCCTCATCGTCTCTGTCTCCCTTGTTCTGGGGAGTACGTTATGGACCTCTAATGCACACACTTCCAATTATAATTAGTTTATTCATATCCTGTGTCGAAGCTGCTGCCTCATTTGTTGTTCTTTTGCTCCAATCTTAATTCAATTTACTGGCTATCAGTCGGAGTTGGAACGAATTGAAAAGTACCCTACCAGGTGAAAACATAGGTGCTGCTGTTGCCCTCTAATGAAAAAAGCCGTAATAATCTTTGGTTTCAGTACAATTATTCGCTTGGGTGAAACTCGGTATTCAAATTCAATTCGTTTTAACAGTTTGTCAAAAATTATTATTATTATAGACTATAACTAACAGGGGAATCGCTAAATATATAGTAGGCCCTAAATAATCTGTTGGGTACTGTGTAGAATAAATACTATTAGTTCAGCACATTATTATTACAATGGACTTGCAATACATTTTTATGGACTTGAAACGTAACTGAATTTCGGGCTCTTCCAGGGCATTTGAGCTTCGGTAAATCTTCACCTAATGGAGAAGATTGCCGGGACGGTAGCCCTAAGGTAGTCGCAGGTTCAAGTTGTGACTCAGAGTCAGAATCAGAGTCAGATGCCCAAGACCCAGACAGAAGACCATGATGTTGTTGATGGTGAATGGTGAATGGTGATGCTGTAGCTACAAGCTTAGCCGATGTTGGTGATGTTGATGCGGGGCCAATTACTCATAAAATGCATGTTAAGAACACCAGTCGATCTGAGGAGGTATAAAGTGGGGCTGGAGGGGCTCGCGGGATTCGGGGGATCTGGGGATTGGACAACTGTTGCCCGACGCCATCTCCATCGCCGTCTGTTCCGCTCTGCCCTTTGTCATTGTCTTGTGTGGCTTGATAAGCGAATCCGAGGCAGACAGTGGGCAATTTGAGGACGACGACGTTGATTTCTCATGTTTGCATGTTCCATTTAGTGGGGGGTTGGGGCCCAGAATTAATGAAGCACAACTCAATGGGCTCTGGCGCCATCTTCCCGATGGAGGAGATTCATCTCCGGGGGTGTGTCGCCATCAACCCTTCAAAAGACAGCGCCCCAAATTGGAAGCTGTCAAACCATCGAACAGCAACGAATCAAATCAAATCAGAGTTCGGGTTCAGATAGCTGCCAAAAATTCGGTATCTGGCAACAAGTTTTAATTGTATGTTGCCGTAATTGAATTGAACTGCTGGTGCCCTGGAGTACATATTTTAATTTTAGGCGGCCCAAAAAAACAGGCCAATCTTATCGCGCAATGAGCATCTTTCGGGCAATATCTATTCGGCAAGATGCTATCTCAGAGATACAAATACATTGCGCGCTATTTGCGTCACAAATTCGTTTAAATTTGTGTTGACAAGTCACATGCGTTATAGGTATTAATTAAATCAGTCCGCAAGTGCTTGATTATCACAGGGAAAGAGAACTTCGGGATACCTCAGTGGGTTCTAAGTTTTCTGGCTGCTTATCTGAGCTCTGTGCTCTGTGTGTTATTTTCACTATGAGCTCGAGGCCCTCGTCCACGTCAGGAAGTCAAGTGGTCAGAGGCTTTTGACACGATTATCGGCGAGTGATAGCTGTGGCCAGTTAATTTCATTTATTCTGTAGGTACACACCGGTACATGTACAAGACTGTGCCCCCAACTTCCCATTGAACCCCCTCCGAAAATTGGAAAAACATCAGCTAGACAAAACGTGATTTATTGGCACTGACTGCGCCGCTGACAATTTGTACTCTTTAATGGTGTTTAATTAAACCCAATCAGCGATAAACTTATCGAGCTATCAGCATGAGGCAAAGGCAAAGGCAAAGTCTTCTGCCCCCCAAAATTGAGTTAATCAAATTCTTATTCTACAGCGATGATACGATTTGGCTTGATATTTGTCTGATTTGATGTGTCCAGGTGGAGAATTAATCAAATTTAATTGTATTTAATTTTCGTTATGCCGTTTGTTTTTCCCCACTTCTAGCTGATTGGGATGATTAGACAGGGGAATTATGAAATATATATTTTGGTTATACTTGTAATATTTGTCAATCATGCTGAGAAGTAGGTTAGGCCCAAGGTGTGATTTTAGATTCGTGGGGTCTGGGGTGACGGAAGTTATCTAGAACGGGGCAAAGATGGAAAGGGTGAAAGGTCGTGTTGATCTCTAGAGCTATTTGGAAATAATAAAATACTCTATAAATTGATTTGCAAATATCCGTTGCTAAAGGCTAGAACAATTTAATTAAAAACGTATGTTGAATAGGAGGTACGGAGATAGTCTTATTAAATGAAGTAACTCTTATCGGCGGTGTTGAAGAAATCTCCGCATAACAAATCTGAAGAAAATAGTTGGGAGATAGCGAAAGTGGTTACAGAAATACGCTAAGAACTGAACCATTGGCTTAGAGGCAAAGAGTAGCAATTTTGAAAACAGCCCGATTAGAAATCTCATATTTCTGTAAAGTATTTTTTTTTCGAATTCAGATCAATATATTTATTCTGTGTATTTAAGTAATATTTTTTATATATATCGTAATAGTCGCAAATGCTCGTTAAATAGTGTCAAGAAATAAACAAATATAAATATAAGATTATCCTTTAATAAGCCATCCTCGGAACTTTAGAAATACATAATAATCTTTTCTATGTTTTCAATTTAATAACCTTCTGCATTGACAGGTGTTACCAGTCAGTTTTATGCTGCAATAGACTCACCTTCTCCTCTATCCTGTTTGTTTGTAGACCTATCTAAGGATAGTATAGATGTAGCTTTCGGCAACCCCTTAGAGTCAGTATTATCTTCTGTTGTGTTTAGAATAGCCGCCTTTGTCTCCACCGGCCTTTTCGACCGTTTCCTTTTCACACTAACCGAAACACTTGCCGACGGTCTTTTGGCCACTCCGTCAATCGAAGGTCTTAACTGTCCAATGGGATCGCGGTATAGTGGGAAATACGTAAGGATGTACCTTTTACGTACAGGTTGCCGACACTTTGCCAGAACTTCACGCACTCTTCTTCGGGAATAACTATATATTTCAAACTCGCCACTACTCGAATCGGAACCGAAAGAACCGAACGCGACGATGATGACCGGGCTGTTCCAGAGCCGCCAGCAAACTACACGGTGAGCAGTCGGCGCGCCGGTGAAAACTCAGGTGGGTCTGAAACAACCGGTTGGAGTTGTTGTTTTCCGATGTTGCGAGAGTGGTTTGCTGGCCTTCAATTGTTTTTTTTTGTAGTGGCACAGAGCGAGAGGGAGCTATGCGATCGGAGCGTGTCGATCGATCGTCGCAGGTGTCGCTGGTGAGGCGGCAGGTGAGCAGGAGGCAGACTCCACCTCTTTCCGGGGATCCGACCTATGGGAAGCCAGCGTTCAGCGGAGCGAAATAATGGCGGAGGTGCTCTCTACCCCTCTCTGTCGCTCCGCACCGTCCTCTCTCTCGCTCACCCTTCGATTGGGGAGTAATTGAATAAGCCCCGCACAAAGTGCAATAAATTTGATTAGCAAAATGGAAATTTATTTGCCCCCCAGCTCGACGCGTTTCCTCTGGTTGCCATAGACGCGTTTGCATTTCCAGTTGTTGCGGCTCATAAATTAAATAATTTAGCCAAGACATATGGGTAAAAGGGTTTCGTGGAGTGGGAATGGGGATGGGGTTGGGGACCTAGACCCGGCCATATAGACCATTTTGGTAGTGTTAAGGGCCTCGTTAATGACTTTGTTGGCTTTATTGGATGATTGCCGGAATCGGACGCAGACTATGAACGGGCTTACCTTTTGGAGGTAGGGTGTCAGGTGAGGAAACGCAATGACCCACAGAAAGGGCTTTTAAGAGTGCTAACCAGGTGACTCAAGATAAATTGCGATTGGAATATTTTAACATAAATATTGTACTATAAATTAAAGAACAGTTTGAACAGTTGGGCATTTAATTGTTAAAGATATTTCATCAGTGAAAACATATATACCAGCAGCCTAGTTATGTATATTTCGTTATATCCGTCCAAATAAATATCTGGATTTCGGAATTATATATGATTAATTTAAATCATTTCTCAGTTTTTTTTGCCATACCATCCCATCTCCAACTTTTGGCTCAGTATAATTAAATGTAATTAATCCAATGAAAACAGTTTACTGCTCAAGCTGTAAAAACTGAACTCAATCCTGGTCTTGCCATTTCCTAACAGATTCCATTCCTTGATAACTACTTCATTAAGCCTGATATTAACAGACCTTATACATCGACAGCTCCATTCCAGCTGCATTTTGCCCTGAAAGCTGGCCCCTGCTCCAATCTCCATGCACTGCCCAATTTGCTCGTATCGCCGGGCAATAAATAAAGTGTTAATGGCAATTGCATACAAATAGTTTGGTGTTGCCATTATATTGCCATATTATCTCATTGTCGGGCCTTAACAAGAAGTAAACAATGCGACGCTCTCCGAGTTCCATTCGAAATCGGAATAGGGATCGGAATCGGAGTTGGAGTTGGATCGAGTCCGCTGCACTGCAGCCAATTTCACGCTTCATTTACAGGCGAAATGCAAACAAAAGACCGGCGACCATCAACCGACGAGGAGCGACCATTTGGCCGACGGGTTCAATGGACAGCAAACTGAGACCGAGATCGGGAATACTGAGTACCGTGCATGGTATCTCTCGTCCCCATGTGGCCGTGTCAATCAGCTCGTCGCGCAAGGTGTGCACTTGTTATACCCAGTACTTTTGAAACGGAAGGGCATATTGCATTTATCCTTAAAAGAGAAGATGGATTTTCTCTTCACTAAACAGACTAAACTGAAAAAATATCTTAGACATGATATATTTTTCAAAGAAGTACTCATAATGAGAATTATAATGCTACTTTGATTATATCATATGGTTCTGATCGGTAGGCCCCATAATTATGTAACGCTTAAGACAATTTTTGCCAATATAATTGATTTCTTTTCTTTTTTTGTTAAAGAGGGATAACTTTCTTAAGATTGCCTACACTATTTCAAATATAAATAAACAAAAGCGGTTAGGAAAAGAATACTTAATTTGCTGTTATATTTATCATCAGCTGTATTACTTTTTCCAAGTAGTGGCGAAAGGAAAGCCAGTACCAGATATTCTAAAGTCGAAAAACTTCGTCGTCGTCGTTCTTCCCCGTTTTGGTCTCGATTCGGGTCCACTCTAGGCTGTCTTTAGTCCGGCTCCGATCGTATTGAAGCGAAAAAGAGACCGAGGCTCAAATTGAGAGAGTCGCGCATGCGCGCACGTCCTAATGTAATTATTATCTCAACAATTGAATTTCCGGTCCCGACTTCGACTCCGAGCTGTGCGTCTGCATCCACTCCTGCACATGGGACAGATGTCGCGCAAAACGTTACAAATGTGCACTTAATTGCGCAATTAAATAATTTTATTTCTGCTCCGCGTTTTTCTTTTTCCCCCCTAAGTCATTCGATGTTATTCTCTTGGCCGATATCAAACAAATTGCAGCCAAGTGGCCAAGTCCTCTTGGCCCGTCCCTATCGGCTGTCTGAGGTGTCTTATTCATTATGCAGCTTAGATAGAAGCATTTACCAGTTGCCATTTGCCAGTTGGAAGAAAGAATTCGTTGAGCCGCCGTCCATTAGGTAACCAAAGTCTTCCCTCTTAAGAATGTATCCTTTAATTTCCAAGACTTAGGCATACTCTATTAAATTTCTTATCTTGGGAAATCTTTTTCCAATATTACCCAAGAGACAACGAATCACTTAAAACATAACAAGTGCTTAATCCTGACAAGTTGAAAGGCATTTAAGCGATCAATATTTTAACAATTAAATTTGTAAAGATCTTGCTTGTGACGACAAACTTTTCGTTCCCACTCCACTGTTCACTGAAAGTATGAATAATTTGTGGGGTTATTATTTATGAAACTTACCCAAAAAAGTTACCCAATTACAACCATTACTTCGACTCGGATTTCCCTCATCCACCGAACCATCAAGTCAGTGAAAATGGTGTAGCCAACGAAACCCAACTGTAAACGATACCAAATTATATTTAATTACGTGCGATTAGTTAGGGTTACTGGAGTCGGGCGATGAAATGCCAGCGATAAGGCCCCGCCCGTCACCTGGCCCATAAATAGTACACCCAACTATCCGATTATTCTCAGAGTCCGGCATTAATTCAATTACAAATGGCTGCGGTTCACTCAGCGAGCGAGGCGTGGGATATAATTACCCAACAAAACTGTCGCTCGACGGCAGCTATATGTACACAATACTGACGGCTGATGGCTGAGTACCAGGTATAGCTGGTATTTTGGCTGGTATTTCCTTGGCCCGCCCCTCGATCATTATTTGGTAATTTAATACGACGGTTTGTCTTGCTTTCGTTGCTTTCGGCGACATTGCATTTTCACTCAATTGTCGTGTAGGCCCGAAATTGACTTGGGAGGAAGCGCGTTATTAACTGGTTTATGCAACCCAAAATTGCCAGATTTCCAACCAGCGATAAGGCCCCTCTGCTTGGCTGATTATGTATGTACACGTACACATTCCTGGCCAATAAGCAGGCAGCAATTAAAACGAAAGCGAAGTAATTTCATTTGTTCGTAAATCTAATAGTGAAAACTCCCTCATGGTCTCTAGTTTCGCCGCCCCCCCATCTGTCCTGGCAAAATAAAAATGTGAAATGCTTTGGTAATTAGTGCGTGTACCGACTGTGGCTTAATTGCCCCCTCTGACCCGTCCCCCTGGAATCCCGTAATAATTCCCCACCTGGATTTCGTTTTGTTTCGAACGTTTTGTTGAATTTGGCAAAACAAAAAATGCATGTTTCGGATAATTCGAGTTTAGTGCGCATCAATTTAAATTATTAAACTTTATCTTCATACTGTTTTGTGGAAATTAAATATAATTATAATTGCCCAGACCAATTAAAGCCTCGTGGTAGTTCAAAATTATTAAAATCCATGTTGAATAAAATGAACATTTTTGAAAATTCGTAATTATTTATCGATGGATAATTTAACATGCTTAAAGCGTTTAATGGGTTTAAAGCGGTATTTTCAAGGATGGGGATCATTAAAATGTTACGAAACAGAAAAATGGGAATTATGACATAGCTAAAATGGAACTATTTTTTTTATATTATTTATATTACATTCGAGGTGACCCCAATCAATGTTTGTCCAATGCTTTTATCCAAAAAGGTAACCCTAGTCGTGATAAAGTCATCGCTTTTTCGTCATCGTTTTTTTTTTTTTATTTAAGCCATAAATGGGTTAGATCAGCTGTTGCCCAGTTTGGATCTCGACTAAATTCTGACCAGTGGCAGCTGTCGATAGGTTCTGTAGCACTTTGGGATCGAAATGCACCCTTATCCCTTCCTTTTACCGTCCTTCTGTTTCTCTTTCCTTAGACCTCTTCGATCATCGCTTTAGTTGTATTTTATTTAATTGATTAATTAGAGGCCGGCTTCTGGTCCCAGGAGTTCGAAGTGGGAAAGAGGGGACCTTTTGCTCGGGGCTATCGTTAGAATTATAATTGGGCTGTGGCCGGGGCCGAGCTATACAGGAGATATGAGATATATGGAAGTGTTGTCCCTAATGCTAATATCCTGTGTGCTATTGTGTTGTTGGCTGTCGGCAATTTGTTTGTTCTTCGGCTACCCAAATTGATTTTATTGACTTGTAAATGATGTTGAGTGCAGTTCCCTTTCTCCTTTCCCCTTTTTGACTGGCTTCCGTATGGCGCATACGCCCCTTTTGGCTCGTTACTCTAGGATTGTTTACTTGGTGGTTGGTTCCTCTGGCCTTCTGAGCCTCCTGTCAATCGATGGCCAGTTTGCATATTTAATTTATTGATTTCACGCGGCCCCTGAAGGAGTACTCTTCTCCCTTTTCGGTTCTTTGTGGCGCCGTTTGCAGCATTAAGCGGGGCTCAAACATAATTACTTTTTGTAATTAGTTGCAGGTCCAAAGAGAGCCGAGCGAAAAGTTAGCAACGAGGGGCATAAAGATTGATAACGAGCTAATGAATGTAAATTTCATACGTGGCCTGCCAGCCAGACCGTCAGTCAGTCAGTCACTCATTCTGAAGAAGGAGGTGAAAGGAGGCAGATGCCCCT